AAACTAAACCCGAATTTCCACATAAATTATTGCAGTCATCGGTCGTCACAAATGCACCAAAAATTTCTATTTCTTCGAAATTCACTACAACTTTGAATATCAGATAAGAGTTTGAGGTTTTTTTTCTCTCTCTTTTTCTTTCTCTCTCTTGACTTCATATCAATATAAATATATTGAAAATTAGATTTTGAAACCGGATTTGCGACCAGTTTTTAGTGTCAATTTATATCGAAATTTCAAGTGTTATTCCCCTCTAAATAGATAATAATACAAGATATTTACTCTCTCTCCCTCTCTCCCTCTCTCCCTCTCTCTCTCTCTCTCTCTCTAATGTATTAAAATTACTATTGGCACCACTTATGCCATATCCTGGTGCACATCACACATACATTTCTTTTGCCCATTCAGTGGCCTCTCATAAATCATAATTTCCAAAATGAGTTACAAAAAAATAAATAGTTTTAATTTTTTCGTTATTAACACAAATAGTCAGTTAACTAATGGAAAAAATGATGAATTGTTGGGTAAAAACTGAATGTTAGCTCATATAATAAACTTGATATACATTTAACATGAATGAAAAAACTATCTTATATTATATAATGAGATAAATTGATTTGAAATGGTTGTGTCAAACCCTCCAGAACTCCGGGTCAGTCGTGCTCTAATCAGATATCACTGCCGTTTGGTTTCGTGAGTCGATGCAAACAGAAGTACATTAAGAAGAAGTTGTTGTCTTTGGACTCTTCTGGTCAAAGCATATCCTCAGAGAACTTCTTCGCCCCCTCTTGTTGTGTCTGCGAAGTCGTCCGCAACACAAACAATAGGAAATGAACCACAAGTTTGCCACACATTATGGATCACATCCGCGACATGAAGTGGTGCGAAGAGATCCCCCTCTCCTCTCCGGCCATTGGTCTGGCCGTCAGTTCATCCGATTCATCGCCGGATCCGTTGATTTAAAATCTCATTTTGTATTTTAATATAACATTTGAATTGCTTTTGCATTTATTATTTTGTCATTCAATTTATTACCAAAAACTAGTCATTACTTTGAGTTTGAAATCTTATTTTTAAAATAATATTTTATTTCTAATTAAACGGCATTAAAAAAATCTCTCTTTTTCTTTCTTTCTACCAATCGCTCACTCAATCTCAACCATATCTTCGCATACATGTAATCTCAACCATATTCTCTCTCTCTCTCTCTCTCTCTCTCTCTCTCTCTCTCTCTCTCCAAATAGATTGTAGTAATTCTCGTTTGTCTTATGTATTAAAAATGAAAAACTTTATACAAGAAAATCATTTTTCATATATTGTATTAAATGTTTAACAATTGGTAAGCATTTTATTTTTCATGTAATCGTTGACTACAATAGGGCTTAAAGTTATACATAATCTGAATATCCCATTGAGAAAAGCTGTGAAAAAATCCGTATTCATTAGTTAACAAAATGTGCTGTTTTTTGTCAATAACTTTATTTCATTTTATCAATTGTTTATTACATTTTTTCTTTATAAATAAGTTTTTTTGTTGTAAAATATTTATTATTATAATTATTAAAATTAAAATCATTTTTGTCGCCAATATTTCTAGTCGTATACATAATATATACCATATATTGATAATGTCTTAAGCATTGGTTTTTATACATCAAAAACAAATTACAATTCAATGCGAATAAACGCCAAAACATTTAAAATTGTGAGTAAAATAAATGTATAATAAAAACCATAAATGAAAAGTTTGTTTAATCGACAAAACAATGCTTAAAACCGATTGTATATCAAATATATTGGATATAATGGCCAGAAATATATAAAGCGCTCAAAATAAGTAAATCATTATATAATTAGCTAATAATATAATTCTATAATAACATAGAAAAACACATAAAGGGGTAATTTTACTAGAAATAAACATGGTCAAACATCGGCAGATACAAAACGGGTTATTGTTTGGTTTTTGTGGCCGTTTTTCTCTAATTATTGTTTAATTCATATATTTATTGAACAGATGTGTCGTTTGTTTTTCTCTCGCTTTCTTATAGTTTGCTTTAATTTCTCTGTAAATATATAGTTATAGTAATAGTTATCCGAAAACAACAAAACTAAAAACTTTTATATACCTTATTCTTATGTACAGTTATTCTGCAAATTGATTATTTTCAAGTATTTTTTTTTATTACAAACAATAAAAATCAATTTTATTGGAAATATTACACACTTGGGGGTAATTTTAATAAACTAGGTAATAGGGGAAGTGTGTAATTACCTCAATATGTTAAACAGTATTTCAATTATAAGCTTAACAAAAATGGATTTATCAAGGGTACTTTTTGTCACTCTGTGTAACTCTCTATTCGCAAAAACTAATTACAATTAATTGATTTGTATTTAACTTTCATTTCTGTATTTTTCCAATTGTTTTCTGGATTTAAATACAGTATAAGAAATGCACAGCAAAATCCATGTAAAGTTTGGATCTCACTCTCTCTCACCCTCTCAATAGTGAGTATGTGTTGAGAGTGTGGGCGAGAGAGAGACACATAAAACACCATGATTAAAAACAAACACACATTTAATACTGTGCTATTGTATATATAACTTGTAATACATATTTATATAGATTTATATATAGTTTAGTTAATGATTTGATAAATAATAATAATAATCATAAATGTATTTATATATAGTTTTAAATGGCATTCATTCACCTGTAGTTTAAATAAAGACAAAAATATGTTTTTTTGTTGTTTTTTTCACAATAAACATGTAATAATGCTTTTTATGGTTAGTATTTTATATAATATATAAGTCAATAATTTTAGGGTTAATTTAATTCTAAAATAACATATAATTTATATATAGAAAAGTAAACGAAAGGAAAGGGACAACAGATGAATGAAAAGTCCAATAAAAATAACAATAAATACTGATATTTATGTTAACAGAAGGAAAGGAAGAAAACATTTCATAGAAAGTTAAGGAAAGGCAGAGAAGAAGTTATTGAACACAAATATATAGAGGAAAACAAAGTCAAGAAGTCTTTCATATCATGTTTGAGAAGACAACTCAACAAAAAAAAACAATATATTTAATTATCCAGTCCGTCATTATCTATTGTCGCCTCAGAAATCTTTATATCTCCCAAACGAAAGGAGCTAGATCAAATCTGTAAACTGTAATGTGTTGGTCCATATATCTAGTATTTTTGTAGAAAATATTATTGAAATCACGTGACTAGATCATATAGATTTTTGGGTCATTTCGAAATGTCATGGTTTTTGCCAAATTGAAAAGGGGGTCGGGAGGGGGCGGGTATGCTATTCTGTAGAGGAGATTTCAATGAATAATAATAACTTAGAACCACCTTCATTGGATTGCTGGATTTTACACTGCATGTCACCAAACTATGGCAATTTTTGCATGTTAACCTATGGGGTTTTTTTTAAAATGTTATATTTACACATAATTAACTATATCATGTAATACTACATTAAATGCTAATAACATTAGTAAAAATAATTTTGAAAAAATTTCATTCTATTGACAAAATATCGTCAATTGCATAATTGAATATTTTGAGTTTTTATGTCTAAAACTCGATATTTCAATTGACGATATTTTGTCTAAAGAATGGAATTTTTCCAAAATTATTTTTACCAATATTATTAGCATTTAATGTAGCATTACATGATATAGTTAATTATGTTTTAGTATAACATTTAAAAAAAACCTATAGGTTAACATGCAAAAATTGCCATAGTTTGGGGACATGCTGTGTAAAATCCAGCAATCCAATGAAAGTTGTTCTAAGTTATTATTATACTTTGACATCTCCTCTACAGAATAGCATACCCGCCCCCTCACGACCCCCTTTTCAACTTGGCAAAAACCATGACATTTCGAAATGACCCAAAAATCTATATGATCTAGTCACGTGATTTCAATAATATTTTCTACAAAAATACTAGATATATGGACCAACACAAAACAGTTTACAGATTTGATCTAGCTCCTTTCGTTTAGGAGATATAAAGATTTCTGAGGCGACAATAGATAATGACGGACTGGATACTTTACATTTAACTCAATTATATAAAGAGCATAGATTAACAACCTGATAGATTAAAAACCAGGCAGAATAAAATAGGGGACATTAATAATATGACATTGTTATTGAATCACCAAGGTGTTTTTAAAATATAGACTTTATACAGCGGACGCAACGTCACCACCCGTGACAACACCGACGGCGACGGTGGCGGATCCGGAAACACTTTGTGAACTCGTACCAGAACTAGGATTTGTATCACTAGTACCGGAAGCACCGGAAGCACCGGTAGCACCGGTAGCACCGGTAGCACCGGTAGCACCGGTAGCGGTCGCATCGGAAGTACTGGAAGCACTAGAGAAACTTTCAGCAGCCGTACCGCTACCGGCAGCGTTGGTGCCGGACCCGGAAGCACCAGTTGCGACACCCGCAGCACCGTGAGCAAAACAACAATATACAATTAATACAACCCATTTAATAATAACATTTAATTTAGCATCATACCATTATTATTTGTGGTGGTGGTGGACGTTGTTTGGGCGACCATTTTTATAGTTAACCTAATCATTGACCCCATTCTCCAATTCCCCCGTTTAAAAGCCTCATCGCATACACAACTGTATTACAACTTCACTACTAAAACACATCCCAAACACTGCAATACAATCTCCAGCCGACGCGAGATTTCATTGACTCCAGAATATTAACAGTGAATATAACGTTAATAAACGACAAGTAATTTCATTTTTAAAACAAATGCTATCAATAATATTGATGTGATTTTCTACGGATTCCTTAAAGGAAAAGTGGTGTCATATCTCTTACCCCTTCTCTCTCTCTACCTTTCCTTTCCCTATAATATCTCTCTTCCTATCCTTCACCACAAATATATCTCGTGTTTGAGCGACAAATCTGTGCGGAAACACACCATTCCCTGTGATTTATGTGGGCTTTCATAGTGAGAGGGCTGTTGTGCGCGATTATCATCCACTCATGTGTAGTGATCCGTGATGTGAGTCCAGTGCCGTCGGCGGCGACAAGTCCTCAATGGCGCGGCTCTTATACTCAGAGCTCGTACTGGTATTCGGATTACGCGGCGCCTAAACCCCCACAACCGCCCACCAAGAAGTCATTCCTACCGACCCCTCAACACTGTCCCGATACAGGCCGTACGGTTTGCGCCGATGTTAAGCCCTTTTATCCCTCGTATGTTATGTTTTTCGTATTAGTCTTATCTCTCAATGTCTTAAAAGCTTTAAAAACAGTTTTTTGAACAAAAAAATCTTTTTCTTATATGTATTAATTAATTTCTAAAATTCTCTCTCTCTCTCTCTCTCTCTCTCAACCAGTGATGATGTCTTTGATGTGATCCGTGCGGCGAAAGCCAAACGTTTCAACATATCGTCTGAGTTCGTGGACGAGAGTCTTAACGATGAAGAGCCGCACTTTTACGACCAACAGCCGCCTCCACCGCCGCCCCAACCTTACAATAATCCCAAACACGAGGGATATGTCGTGTATCAGACGGCCGTCCACTACGACAACAACCATCACAACACATATAAGCCAAACAATTACGATAACAGACAACTAAACTATAATAATAACTATA